ACCGGTTCTATAGAACTGGTGCGAACCGGGGGCAACCCACCACTGATTATGGGGTCATTAAAAGAAGATGATTATGAATTGTCAAAAGTTGGAAGTAGACTTGATGGAATATATATTCTCTTCTCAGGCTTCTATTGTAATCATAATTAAGGGATACATAGGTGCTAATGAAAGTTGTGTTTCAAGTTAGCCAGATTACCTTCCTCACCAATATTTAAAACTTGCTTGATCCTGGAATAGGAGCACATAATCTATTGATTTGCTCCATCTCATTAGATTTTGGTATGAAAATCTAAATTCCCTATATATCCTTTGGACATCTGTTTGGGATTTTTTTTTTTTCCTTTTGCAGTTTAAAAAAAATTGTGCTGTCCAGTTTGTTTGATTTATTCTGTCAACATGGGAAATAACAGACGTATCTCTCATAAAAACATGAATTCTGTCTTCTGCACTATTCTACTCTATTGTATAAAGACAAAAAAAATAGGAAGTTCATTTTGAACAAAAATGTGTTTCATAGCAACAGCCCATGTCATAAAAACAACATATAGAAAAGAAGTAATTTAGTGGGAAATAGAGGATTACATCAGAAGATTAGAAGAGACATCCATAATTATTACCACGTTCTAGGTAGAATCAAATTATTCCTCGTATAGATTTTTCGCTAAGATACCTGCTATTAAAGGAGTCTATATATTTTTTCTACCTTGTAGAACAATAGGCATCGCATATTTTAGATAGCTGTATTTTAGGTAACTGAACAAAGTCTACTTCGAAAAACAGTGCAGGGTATTGGAAACCCAATGACATTCTCATTGTTCCTTTTCCCATTAAGAAAAATTTCATACCCACCATCCAGTGCTAATGAATATTCTGTCACTGAGATGTTAAGAGGAGCTGGATTAGTGACTATGTAAGCTGTGCAGCTTCATTATATCCATAAATATTTTACAAAGTCTCTGAATTCTTTTTCAATGTTCTTTTACATATTGGCTGTACACATAGGTTTATTAATGTTCACCTGTATGTATATCGAGAGCCAGTTTGGCGTAGTGGTTAAAGGCACCAGGAGACTGTGAGTTCTAGCTAGGTGGTGATTTGGGTGAAAGTCACACTCTCTGTCCTAGAAAGGAGACGATGTCAAATCACTTCTGAAAACCTTGCCAAGAAAACTGCAGGCAGATAGTTCACCAGGACTCAAACAATGGCCTGCATACACATACTGTACACACAAACACAGACATGTATATTAATATCCATCTCACAATATTACTTTATGGAGAATTCTATTGAAAAATATAAGGCAGGTATCTAACAGAATAACAGAGTTGGAAAAGGACCTTGGAGGTCGTCTAGTCCAACCCCATTCTAAGGCAGGAAATCCTACACCACTTCAGACAAATGGTTATCCAACATCTTAAAAACTTCCAGTGTTGGAGCATTCACAACTTCTGGAGGCAAGTTGTTCCACTGATTAATTGTTCTAACTGTCAGGAAATTTCTCCTTAGTTCTAGGTTGCTTCTCTCCTTGATTAGTTTCCACCCATTGCTTCTTGTTCTGCTTCTTTCCCTTAAGATAAATTTCTATTATACTAGGACAAAAGATCCCAATTAATGAGTTTTTATTCTTTTATTTACAGGCCTGATGACTTTCGACCAACGTAATAGGAAGAATGTAAAAGAGTCAAAGAGAAGCTTATTACTTTGTAATGCCAGGAACCTCCCAGAATTTTTACTGGATGGCTGTTTGCATAAGCATTGGATTATCTACTTTAAATTATTTTTTATGTATTACTGATTTTTAAAAAATCTTTAATAAGATGCAAAACCAAGACTAGTTGGTACATTTTTCTTTTTGTTATATCCTCCTTTTTGGTGGGAGAGAGAGAGATCAAAAACAGCTGAAATAAATAAGTAATAAATAACGTTTTTCTGCAAATAATATGTATATTTTAACTCCATATATCTTTCTGTCCTTTGGTTGAACTTTTATGTCATGCTTACTTCATTATATCTAAAATATTTGAGCAAGCTGTTAGGTTTCATGTTCCTGCTGAAGGCTGGAGCTAACCAGTGAAAGCACATTTAATTTCCCATGTTAGCAGCTCTTCTCTTTCAGAAGATTGAACTCTACTTTAAGTGCTATAATAGATAACTACCACCCTCAATCTCACCACATTCAGTCATCCACCCCAGGGATACGAGGCACAGTGGCTCAGTGGCTTACTGACCCTGAAGATGGTCTTTGCACTAGCAGTTCGAGTCCTAGCACTGCATGGCGGGTTGAGCTCCCGTCACTGGCCTCAGCTTCTGCCCACCTATCAGTTCAAAACAATATTAGAGTAGATAAATAGGTACCATTTAGGTGGGGAGACGAGTCGGTGCTTCATGTGGACGGTTAGAATCCTGCTGGTGCCGGACCTTCCCGGGTGCAACATCTGTTTATGAGGCAGCTTCAGTGGAGAGAGAGAGTCCCGGATGTCGCTGCAGGAATGCCGCTCACCTTTCTTTCTGGTGCAGAGCTAGCTCACCCCGTGGCACACCTTGGAAAACACATGTGAGCCAAACAGGGATAGCAATCTTAGACAGCCAAACTACTATTTTGCATTAGGATTGTAGTCTCCTGGCTAAGGTAACATCACCATATGCTAAATAAATAAATAGTAACCACAGGGATGTATTGTACCAACATAAAATAATTCTGTGGACAAGTGTTCTATTGAGTTAGTTTTATGTTAGCGGAATTCAGTCCCTACATATAACACAGGTGGTCTAATGATAATGTCTGTGTCCCAAACAATTCATGATTTCTCTTTTCACCTCATCCAAGTTAGTGGTCATCACTACATTTTATGGTAATGAATTTCATTAATTATGCACAGGCTGACAATATTTTGTTATCCCCTTCTGACAGAAGGAAAATGAGCAGTACTGGGGTTTAGGGTTCTCTTCTGGATATACTTTAGATGTCAGTGTGTGACATTGTTAACATTGTTAATATTAGAAGCAAGTTTGTCAACCATGGGCCTCCCAAATGGCGTAAGTTCAGTTAAAGTATTAAAAGTGCAACATTCAGAAAGCCACAAAAGTGCCTATATCTTTGCACAGACATTTGCATAGAGGCAAAAATATTCAAGCTGCCAAAGAGCCATTGTAGTCCCTCTAGAACAGGGGTGGTAAACTCACATCGTCACGGCAGCGTCACATGACATATTGGGATGTTTTCCCCCTTCGCTAAACCAGGCGTGGCCAGCGCGTGACACATCCGGCCTGCAGGCCCGGAGTTTGACAGCCCTGCTCTAGAAGACATTTGCACATCTGGTTAGAAATCCAGATAAGAGGGCAAAACCTTTGCCTGAATTGAGAATATAGATACTTTCACAATGATCATAATTTGTAGGAACATCTGGCAACATCTGTTAATTTTCCAGAATTTAAGCATTACTAGAGTTTGGAGGGGAAACATTTTCAAACCACCCATATGTTCATTACTATTTCTGGCATGCCTACGTACAACAAAACATTTAAAGATAATTAAATTAGCATTAGTAGCAAATTGTCATCAAAAGGAATTAGATAATTTTTTCTTCTCTTGAAATAGCGCAGTTTTCAAAACATTATAGTTATGACTACAAATTGATTATTCAGTTGCAAAACTAAAAGTGATTTTCAGTGGGTACAGAAGTACTATATCCTAGTCCTTGCTTACAGTATATCATGTATTATAAATGCAAACTGCTGTTTTTCAAAATTCAGAGTTTCATTGAGTAATCCATATTTAATGCCTTCTCCACTGACTATTCTCTATAATTCTCTAAAGCTTGTCAAACAGTGTAATCAGCATCCACCAATAATTTGTGAAGTTCACTTGCATTGCTGATAAAATTACTAGTCCACCTTACTCTTTAGTTTTTTGATATATATTACTGAGTGACTATTTTACTGATAAAAGAGTTTAAGAAGCCACTAAGGTAAAATCAAAATTTAAATTACAGGTTTGCATTAGTTCTTATCTAAACAGTATGTTATTAGAAAAGATCTATGGTATCTCGAAATAAAGTGTTACTCAATCCATTGGTGTAATATTAAGCTGGAGCCTGTTAAAACAGATCTTGCAAGCAAAAGGAAAACGTTAGTTTAGAGTCCAGTGTGGGTTACACTCTTCAATGCTACTTCAAAATATTTGCATTTGTAGGTATGGAAATATTTAAGGAAAAGTTTATTATATTGAATTAAGTAAAAAAAATATTCAATCCATTTGTGTCTTATCAAGCAAGAGCTTATTAAGATCTTACGAGCAAAATGAAAATGATTGTCTAAAGTCCAGTGAGAGTTACATCCTTCAAGCTACTTCAGGATGTTTGTGTTTTAAACATTTAAGAAAAACTTTTTTTATTATATTGACTTAATCAGTTGTAATCAAAGTACTTTCAAAAATTCTAAGCCCACTCAATGGCTTCATGTCAAAACAATTTCTGACTCATAAGGAGCAACATTGGGGGCTGATAAAGAAATAACCTTTAAATTACTGCCTGTAGCATGCTGCAGATTCACCATTTTCTGGCAAACAATACTAAGAGATTGCATATAAAATGGCATTGAGTGTAATCAAAAAGGATCATCTTACCCCTTTTAAACAAACATTAATACTGAGGAAAAATTGTATCATACTAATCTCACATGTGTAACATATTTTTAGCCTTATTCTAGAGAAATGTGAGGAATTAGATGCCAATATGAATGAATGAATAAATGCTGGAAGAAATAGACCGTGAACAAATATGGTTCTTAAGCAGTGATTTTTCAATGTTGCTGGGTAGAATAGATTTTTGACTAGCAGGAAAAATGAGGATATCCAAATCACTTAAAATAAGCAGGATTTTGCTAACTGGCCTATAATCGGTATTCACGAATTTGGAATTGAGGGTTAATAAAATCAGACATACAATTCAATTTTATATTGAAACTATGGTGTATCAAAATCAGTACAGTAGAAAAAATATTTATAAAAGCTTGCCACTTTATTTGTATAGAAAACAGAGTAGTATTAGACCCACAATAAATTATTGGTGCATTTCCAACAGGTATTTATGGGAATACTGTGGGATGAAAAAAAACCCCACTTCATATACATCTTTATATGGATAATTTAAAAAAAAACTTCAGAGAACTCAGACATAGTAGTAGCTTTAGTAGGTTTACTCTGAGGAAAGCACATATTTAAAATGTAGACAAAAATATCAGAAAGCAAGGAATAAAAGAACTCTCCTTGATTTAATTCAAATTTGCCATCTGGCATTGCAGTATTTTGAAATCTGCATTGAACCATACTCATAACCTAACTATAAACATCTACAAATACATCTTTTGGAGTTTTCATTTAACCATAAACCGCTATACTGTTAATAATTTCTGCATGCAATGTAATTAGCTCTTTCCCGTCTTGTCAAAATGGTCATGTACAATATAATGTGTTTTTTTTCCTTTAATGTATATGCTTGCAAACAGTTTCCATGACAACATTTAGGTCAACCGGACAGAGGCCTAAACATTAGCTTAACTAACGTACACAAAGAATATAAAAAGCAGTTCATCGTGAGGTTTTTTTAAATTGGTCAATTGCGTTTTGGAGAGCTGATACTTCTTTTGGAGATTCTCCTCGGAAAGCGGCTTATTCCGGCAGCCTCCATTTCTTCATCCACGGGTGTGAATTCTGGTTGTGCGACATGAGGATAAGCATAGGATCCTAGATAGGGCTCTGGCTGATCTTCATAAAGATCCTCGGAACCATACAGTTGGTAGGAGTTGTGGGTTAATGGCACAACTGGAACGTCTTGATCTGTTGGATCCCCGTAGCCACCTTAACCCACAAAGGAAAGACACAATTAACACAAGAGGGAATTAAAGAATTAAAGCTAGAGCAGGGGTATCAAACTCAAGGCCCAGGGGCCAGATCCGGCCCGCGGGGTACTTCGAACTGGCCTGCGGGACCGTCCTGGAAACAGCGAAGGACTGGGCCGCGGTGCTTCTGCCAGCGAAAATGGACTCCCGAGCTCTGTTTTCGGCTGCCAAGGCTTCCTGCAACCCTTTGCCAGTGAAAACATAGCTTGAGGGCCCTCCTAAGCCCTGTTTTCAGTGGCAGAGGGTTGTAGGAGGCCATGACAGCCGAAAACGGGGCTTGGGAGCCCATTTTCACTGGCAGAGCGCTCAGGGCCACCACAAGACACCTGACATGAGTGACAAGCTGGCTACACCCATCCTGGCCATGCCCACTTTGGCCAGCCAAGGTCAAACACAACCATGATGCGGCCCTCAATGAAATCGAGTTTGACACCCCTGAGCTAGAGCATCTCTAGAAACTCAGTCCATTTTAAACATCAAAAAAAATATATAATCAGAAAATAATTTGTAAAATTAAATAATCAACATTAATCCAACCAGGGAATTTGTTGTTAATTGTTAGAACTATATAAATAATCTCATATAGTTTTTTTAAAAAAGAGTCCCTGCGGATTTTACTCCGCTAGTCGTTTGGACTATAAGGGACGGTGCTCATCTCCATTTCAAGGCCATTGAGTCAGCACTGTCTGAAGACATTTCCACAGTCATATGGCCAGCATGAGGTCATGGAGCACTGTTACCTTCCCACCGTAGTGGTACCTATTTATCTGCTCACTTTTGCATGCTTTCAAACTGCTAGGTTGCTAGGAGCTAGGGCGAGAACGGGAGCTCACTCCACCACATGGTGCTCGGGTCTCAAACCTGGGCTGCTGGCTTTCCAGCTGAGAAGCCCAGGGGTTAACCACTGAGCTACCACGCTGTCCCAATCTTACATAATAACCTTCCAAAAAGTGGGACTATTTATTTATTACTAATGTTGCATTAATCATATTGAGAACATTGCAGTCAATGTGAAATGATTGTCATGCAATCCTTATTAAAGGATTTAATTTTTTTTTAATCAAGATTTGGTCTGCACCTATACTGCATTTCAATTATATGTCTTGTCAAGTTCAGGGACCATTGCCCTATACCATCAGTGCTGTTGGTTGAAAAAGCGTGAGGCAGTTCAATAATCATTTCTGATCTTTGTCCAAATGAAAGAAAAAACAAACTCTACCCGAAATCAGTTTCTTTCACCTTCCATATTGGTAGCCATTGTAAGGGAATGAGCCTTTAAAATTGAAAATGAACAATGGTAAGGGGTGGGGGAAAAGAGGGGGAAAGGATAGGAGTAAATGGACAACAAAGAAAAACATACAGGTCAGTAAAAGACATTTCAGAGGCCAGGCTGAAGTATATACATTAATCTTGCATTTTAAATCTACATGCAAAGTTTGAAGCACCCAGGCCAAATTGTATCTTTCATTGAATTTGTAAAGACATCTTTCTGGAAATCTGAATGCACAATTATTTGTTATGTGTAGTTGTTTACCGATTCAAAACAACAAAGCAATTTGGCAGGTGCAGAACTTTTAACAATCCATTCTCCTACTTTGTAAGAGTGAATTTATTTTCATTTTCAAATACTATATCCATGTTGAAATTAGGCAGAATACAATCACCACCTTAGCTGAGAAGGGTCAGAATGTTTACTAATAAAATTCTATTCTTCCACGTAAGTGTAGACCTACCGAGCCAATTAACGTGCAGGGCCTCATTAGTAACTTCACAGTAAAAAACAAAATAGCACCGGTTCATCTAAATGCATCTAAATTTGTTCCCCTGACATACTCACTGTTTTGTTATTCTTCCAGTCTGAATCTGCAAAGAGCTGCACACAAATAGTTAGCATGCATTCAAGTTTGCAAAAAGATGTCACGTTTTACTTGGATACCATGTAGAGGTTGTGGTCAACTTCTGTTCCCTAAAGATTCATTGAACATTCATTACAGTTTGATCGAGGATGCCTAAACTTAAACATGCCACTAAGGTTGGATGTAACTAAACATTAATTATAAAGCTTCTTAACTTGCAAGATCCAAAGGATTGTTTCATGCTGCACAACCCAACACGTTGAAGGATCCCATGCAATTTAGCTATTCATGCCAAATTTCCCTCTGTTCCTTTTTGTGGCCTCTCTCTTTCTAAAACAGTGGTTTTCCAAGAATTGCTTTTGTCATCACATTTCCTTATCAATTTGGTTATCTTTGTGTTGTTGAAGCCTTGAGAGTAGAACATTCTTTTTTTGGCAGCAAGTTTGAGGGGAAGATTGATGGAGCAGTCAAACCACTTTTCAATGCATTTTGTTTGCTGTGAAGGAGAATAAATTATGGTCGAATAACATCAAATCATGACTGTCTTTTAGAGCAGGGGTCTCCAACCTTGGCAACTTTAAGACTTGTGGACTTCAAAGCAAAGCTGGCTGAGGAACTCTGGGAGTTGAAGTCCACAAGTTTTAAAGTTGCCAAGGTTGGAGACCCCTGTTTTAGAGGAACCTCTTAATATTTTTGAGGGAGTTGAAGTCCACAAGTCTTAAAATTGCCAAGGTTGGAGACCCCTGTTTTAGAGGAACCTCTTAATATTTTTGAGGGCACTTAGTAGTTTGAAAACCACTGCTTTAGTGGGGAAAAAATTAAGATATAATCATGCAGTAGAAATAGTCAGTCTGTTCTTGGAAGGTGTATGTACCATTCATTTATTACGACATTATGTATTTTTGTTTAATGAGAGGCTTAGTTAGTAAAGTTCATTCTTCCATGCGGTTTGAAAGCTCATGAATGAGAAAGTTGGATAATTATTCTTTCCTCCTCAAGGGAAGTATATAAAATATCAGCTCAAGAGATGAAGAAGGGAATTACATGAATAAAGCATTCAGATGGGATGAAACAGATTAGTTGGATAGCATAGCAATATTATAATAAGTGCAACAGACACAACAAAATACTTCTAATTTTATGTCACTTTTTATAAAGTTTTTTCTGTTCATACTAGAAAGTCACATTGCCTCTTTTTAAAACAATTAGTGCAACTACCATTCCTGCCTGAGTAACCTTTAGATTGACATTTGGCTCAGAAAGTTCATTCACCCTGCTTGAACTTGCTTCAAGATTCATTCCTGATGTCAATCCAGAGGTATATTACAGAGCTATCAGAAAGAGAGGTCAATGAAATTTTCTCCTCACAGTTGTGACCAAGTAACCAACATGGTTGGAATTAACACATATTATTCATAACGAAATTTCTGCTTGGTTGAAATCACGTTAAAAGAAGGTCTTGTTTTAATAAAACAAAATAAAAACGGCAGTTCCAAAATAGTAATGATTCCAACAATGGCTGCAAATATGCATGAGGAATACACTGATAAAAGAGAGGCATTGTTTTGTTTTCTAAACAGCAATTCTCCTTCTGCAACAAATACCAAAAACTGAAATCTTTTGCTACACCACTTAGCTTTGAAGACAGGTGTCACGGGCAAAATACAGGCAAAACTAAATTCCAAGTTGGAAAAGAATACTTACCACCTGCTCCGTAACCAGCACAAGAGGAAGGATCACAGTACCCTGGCTGTCCAGGTGTTCCCTGTGCCCCAGGTGGACCTGTGCGACCGGCTGTTCCTCTGGGACCAGGGGATCCTGAAGGCCCAGGAGTGCCAGTTCGACTCTCACCTGGAGGTCCTATGGGGTACAAGAAGCGACAGTAAGAATTTTACCTCTGCCCTATTGCAAAAGGTCAATCCCTCATTAATATTTAGGGCTAATAATGAAGTATCCAACCTTGGCAACATCAAGACTTGTGGACTTCAGCTCCCAGAATTCCCCAGCAGGCATGGCTGGCTGGGAAATTCTGGTCCACAAGAAAATTCTGGGAGTTGACGTCCACAAGCCAAGACTGGACACTTCTGATCTAAAGTTTAAACTGATGACAGAATTTTAAAATTTACTGTGCTTTTACAAGTTTCCTAGAGCAGGGGTCTCCAATCCTGGCAACTTTAAGACTTGTGGACTTCAACTCCCAAAATTCCTCAGCCGGCAAAGCTGAAGTCCACAAGTCTTAAAGTTGCCAAGGTTGGGGAGCCCTGTCCTAAAGCCAGAAAGATTGTCTGACATACACAATGAGTTGAAAAGTGAACAATTATGAATTGATTTTGAGAACAGGCACCTGCATTGTGCCAATCTTTTCAAATGTTAAATTGTACATACTATCAGTTAATTGTTTTCTGAGGTTTTCGCAGGTGTTTGTATGTAAGTCTTTGGTTATTCGGGTTTTCTCCCGCATAAAATTGGAGGTGTCTTGGCAACGTTTCAACGAAGTCTCATTCGTCATCTTCAGGCTGGTGTTTTCGGCTTCGTGCTCCTAGCACAAAACCCGAATAACCAAAGACCTACATATCAGTTAATTGTACATACATGTCAATTGTACATACAACCCAGGGGTGGGTTCTACTTACCTTTACTACTGGTTTGCAACGGGAGCGTGCAGATCACCCATGATGACTTCATGGCGGGTAGGCAGAACCTCCCACTGGTTTTACTACCGGTTCTATAGAACCGGACTGGACCGGGAGCAACCCACCACTGATACAACCAGTTCGTGGGCAAATTAATAGTCCTTAACTCATTTGGGGCACATATATTCATGAAGAAATAAAAGTGGATGGAATGTGTGCCGAATTGCACATACAGCCATTCCTATGTATTCTGGAAATTTTAAAAATGCAGAAATAATTCCTGATGCTGGAAGGCCAGAAAGGAATATCCAAATCGGTACATAATTTTTGGAAGAAAAAGGCTTAGCAAGAAATGCCCTTCCTGTAAAAAAATGAATAGCAGAAGCAACTGAACTTCCTTATCTAAAAAAAAAAAAAATTGAGTTCTACAGTACATCTCATTTACCTGCTGGCCCTGGAGGACCTCGGGGGCCTTGGGTTCCGATACCTGGGTTACCTCGTTCTCCCTTTTCTCCTGGTGAGCCTGGTTTAAAGAAAAAGACAGAAATCAAAATAGATGTGGGGGTGGGGGGAAGATTTGATACGTGTTTCTCTCTGGGCATCTTTTACTAATTAAAAGGAAGGAAGGAAGGAAGCCAAGAAAAATGATTCTGGAAGCTGTGCGACTATAAGCATCATGGAAAGTTGCTACACTAGAATTCTGCTGCAGTCCCTCTTGGATGGCATAGCGTTGCTAATTTGAGACATCGCTGACTCTTTTTGTCTTGGTCCATATGCAGAGAGTATAGGAGAAACAGTTAAAGGCACTGGGTATGGTTAGTCTACAGAAGAGGGCTCTTGAGAAAATAAGTTTTTCAATATCTGAAGGGTTCCAATAGAAGAGAATATATGTAGCTCAGGGCTGAACTTTGGAGTCCGTGGTACTCTCTGAGCTTGGTAATTCGCTTATAGTCATCTCATTACCCAACTAGGTATCATGCACATCATGGCTACCTGGGGAATTATGGGACTTGAAGTCCATTTATCTTAAAGTCAAGTTACCCCTTTCCCTTTCCCCTTGAACCCAAAGGCTTGTCTTTTCAGGCAGACTGTCAATAGTCTGACTAGTAAACCTCAAAAAGGACACACTCTTCTTTTTTTATATATATATGCCGCCCTTCTCCGGAGACTCAGGGCGGCTTACAATGCATTAAGCAATAGCCTTCATATTTTTGTATATTTTATACAAAGTCAGCTTATTGCCCCCACAAACCGAGTCCTCATTTTACCCACCTTAGAAAGGATGGAAGGCTGAGTCGACCTTGAGCCTGGTGAGAATTGAACTCGCAGTTATTGCAGGCAGCTGGATGTTAAATGCTGCCTTAGTAGGAGGCATTAGCCTCCTACACCACTCAGGCTCCATTCAGGCTCGCCACTCTTGGGAGCTTTGAATTCCCAAAAGCAAAAGTTTATTGGATACACCATTTTGGTACCGAAGAATCAAAACTAGCTCTGGTTTTCCTGCACAAATGCTTGTTTAGGCAAACAATACTTTCCCTTTCTCTCCACCCTCCCCACATTGTCCAATTACGAGGCCATCATTTTTTTATGGAAACAGTCCATCTCTTTCCCAAACACCTGCAGCCGTGACCTTGATGGTTGCCAGGCTCTCACGATCCATGCACACATTCTCAGCATTCTATTTCCCCCTTCCCTTCTCCCAGTTCATTGGCAAGTTGAAATGCTTTAAGGTTTGAAAGAAGCAAAGAGGTTCAATCTTGACATAGACTTTTTAAGACAGTACAGTTTGTTGTTTTTGTTCAGTTGTTAAGTTGTGTCCGACTTTTTGCAACCCCATGGACCATATCATGCCAAGCCCCCTGTTGTCTTCCACTATTGCCCAGAGTTTGTCCATGTTCATTGCATCCATGACACTATCTAACCATCTCATCCTCTGCCGTCCCCTTCTCCTTTTGCCTTCAATCTTTCCCAACATCAGGGTCAGAGGTGGGTTTCATATAATTTTACCACCGGTTTGCCGCGCACCAAAAATGTGAGCGGTCATGCGCACATGCTCTGCTTGCGCACCTTCTGCGCATACATGCGGCCTTCCGTGCATGCGCTTTGCTAGCGTGCACAGCTTGCACGCATGCACGTGGCTTAGAAAACGTGGCTAAATAGGACGGCATAATACCGGGGGGAGGTCGCCACTACCGGTTCGCCTGAACCGGTCAAAAACCAGCTGAATACCACCACTGATCAGGGTCTTTTCCAAGGAGTCCTCTCTTCTCGTTAAGTGGCCAAAGTATTTGGGCTTCAGCTTCAGTATCTGTCGTTCCAAAGAACGATCAAGGTTGATTTCTTTTAGGATTGACTGATTGCAGTCCAAGGGACTCTCAAGAATCTCCTTCAACACTGCAATTCAAAAGCATCAATTCCAGCTACTTTAGCCATCTGTAGTTTACCCCTCAACTTGATTTACAATCCCAAGATCAGCATTTTAGCCTGTATGCTTATTACGGACACTCAGATCTAAGTCACCATCTTCTGTAAGCACTGCATTTTCAAAAGATTGCTGCTGGATTGGGCTGCCAGGAGCAAGATTTTCAGATAAAAGTTGCACTGCAAAAAAGGGGGGGTGGAAACAAAACTTCTAATCTCTCACAATTTCCCTGCTCTGCCAGAAGCTCTACCTGAGTAGAAGTCTGACTGCCTCAAATGTCTTGTTGGCAGAAAGGAAGGGTGGATATATAGCAAAAGTAAATCCATATAAATACGTCCAGCCACCAGGCAGTATTCAGCAAAGTGAGGATGCTGAATTTTCCACATGTGAAGTTGGCAATTGTAAGAACTATGTTTTACTTCAAAGCTTCATAAACCTGAGCTGACTGATGGATCCCTTTCCATCATTTTTTTCCTCAGGTTTTCTGTTGCAGCCATTTCACTTCCTTTCATTTTGCACCGCATATGCATGCACAGAATCAAAGCTGGCATTTCAGCATCAGCGGCTTATAAAAAATAGCATTGTTAAAGAATCACTAGCTATTCTCCCCAAATACTTGGTGTGCACCCTTTGCTAATTGCAACGGCTGCATGACTTTCTAATGGCTGTGAAGTAACTGTATCAGTATTACCAATAGCACTTAGACTTATATACTGCTTTACAGCCCTCTCTAAGCGGTTTACAGAGTCGGCCTATTGCCCCCAACAATCTGGGTCCTCATTTTACCCACCTCGGAAGGATGGAAGGCTGAGTGAACCTTGAGCCTGGTGAGATTTGAAATGCCAAATTGCAGGCAGCCGGCAGTCAGCAGAAGTAGCCTGCAGTACTGCACTTTAACCACTGCGCTACTGTGGCTCATTACTTTTATTATTACTTTTTATTATTACTTATATCGAGGCTGAATTCAAAAGAAACTTCCTCAGCAGTGGAATTCTGAAAATATACTTGGATACAAATTGCCTCCCTCCCCTTGCAAAACCTGGATTTAAAAACCAGACAGAAGACGATACATTTTATTTTTTCAAATGGGCTTCCATATGGTGCTATCAGTTGAAGCATCGGTGCCAGCAGCAAAACCAGACATACTTATTTCCTGAATTATATTACAATGCCATTATGGGTCTTGCGTAGTTAGATCACCTCACATGCTCAGGACACACATACACACAAAAATTGGTCCTTGTTGCTTGACAGCAAAAAAAACAAAACAAAATCCCAGGCCTGGCCAGTCATTGCTAATTGCTTTCAAAGAAGTTGCTGCTGCTGGCCTGCTTTTCTAGTAAGAAATTATTTAAAAGCCCTTTTTAGAAATGGCCTCTCTTTATACCATATTTCCCCGAAAATAAGACCCTGTCTTATATTTTGGGGGAGGGCTTATTTTGGGGGGGAGCTTATTTTAGCGCATGCGCTCAAAAGCCCGATTGGGCTTATTATCAGGTGATGTCTTATTTTAGGGGAAACAAGGTAGCAATAGCAATAGCACTTAGACTTATATACTGCTTCATAGTACTTTACAGCCCTCTCTAAGAGGTTCACAGAGTCAGCCTCTTGCCCCCAAGAATCTGGGCCCTCATTTTACCCATCTGGGAAGGATGGAAGGCTGAGTCAACCTTGAGCCGGTGAGATTTGAACTGCCAAACTGCAGCCAAATTGCTGCCTGCAATACTGCACTCTAACCACTGCGCCACCTTGGCTTTCTTTGCTTGGATTGTTAATTTTTGTTTCCTGGAAATCAAGTTAATACTAACTGACCATAAGCTGGAAGGAGCTTCGGGCAGGTTGTTACTTTAGGGGTCTATTGTGCTCTGCTTCTCTAAGTCTCCTGTTCTCACTTCATTGTTATTTTCACTTTATTTATATCCCACCTTTATTATTTTTACAAATAACTCAAGGTGATGAACACACACGATACAGGTAGTCCTCGATTTACAAAAGTTCATTTAGTGACCATTTGAAGTTACAACGGCACTGAAAAAAAGCGACTTATGACCATTTTTCACACTTATCACTGTTGCAGCATCCCCATAGCCATGTGATCAAAATTCAGATGCTTCTCAACTGACTCATATTTATGACAGTTACACTGTCCTGGGGAATATGTGATCACCTTTTGGGTAATTCTGACAATGGGGAAGCCAAATTCACGGAACAGCCATGCTATTAGTTGAACAACTGCAATGATTCGCTTAACAACGGTGGCAAGAAAGGTCATAAAATGGGGCAAAACTCACTTAACAAATGTTTCACTTAGCAACACAAATTTTGGGTTCAATTGTGTTCGTAAGTTGAGGACTACCTGAACTTCTTCCTCCTCCCATTTTCCCCACAACAACAACAACCCTTTGAGGTAAACTGGGCTGAGAGATTGAAACTGGTCCAAAATCAGCCAGCTGATTTTTCATGCCTAAGGCTGGCTAGAACTCCCAGTTTTCCTGGAGCTTGGCTCAAAGTCACCTAGCCAGTTTTCATACCTAAGGTGGGGCTAGAACCAGTGATGGGATTCAGCTGGTTCGGGCCAGTTCAGTCGAACCAGTAGTTAAATTGCTGTCTGGCCTTGCCCCACAGCATCTCTTCCAGGAGACTCCATGCGCCCCATTTTGGCTCCCAGGTAAGTGCAGGGAGGCCTACTAGGCCCAAAACGGGGCATGGGGGTGCAGTGTGCCACCCACACAGCCTGTTTTCGCTCCCAGGAGGCTACAGAGAGGCCGACTAGGCCCAAAATAGGGTGCGGAGGGAGTGCCGCGTGGCCCTCCCCCATGATCCGTTTTCACTCCCAGGAGGCTGCAGGGAGGCCTACTAGGCCCAAAATGTGGGGGGGGGCACATCCCCCCCGCAGCCATTTTTGCTCCCAGGAGGGTGCAGGAGTCTGCGTGCTGCCTGTCACACCTCCTGGCCATGCCCACCAAGGCCACGCCCACCCAGCTGGTCATTAGGGCAGAGAACCGATTATTAAATTATTTGAATCCCACCAGTGGCTAGAACTCCCAGTCTCCTGGCTTCTAGCCTGGTGCCTTAACCACTAGACCAAACTGATTCTCTCC